ATGATCATGATGATTCAGAAAAAGCAGAAGAAGAAAGAACACGAAGAAGAAGAAGAAGAAGAAGAAGAAGAAGAAGAAGAAGAAGAAGACAAAAAGAAGAAGAAGAAGAAGAAGAAGAAGAAACGAAGAAGAAAAGAAGAAGACAAACATAACAATAATATATATATATCATTATAATAAGAAACGGACATACAAATAGTAAGAATAAACTATTATAATGTGATACTGTGCTGTTTGTTGATTGCTTATTGATAGAAGTTCTGCACCTGGCCTCCTGCCTCATGTCATGGCAATAGCTGTCCCTGCAGGTGGAGCCTCTCTTCAAACGCCATGCAAAGCGGGCGTTACCATTGGCGCGGAAGGCAGCATTGCGGACTATGAAAATCCAGCACTGCATGAGCCTATTGGCCCGTGAATCCACTTGGGAGGGGCATCATTGGTGACCATGGCGTATAAATTTTAGAAACACCATGTCCCATTGTGTTGCCAAACTGTACATCTCTAATTACTTAATGGGTGTATTTCTTTGCATTTGTCTAGCTAAGTGCTTGTGCCCGATGCTGCCAAGTTGAAGTGGACCAAAGGAAAGGGCACCACACCAAACCCAGTTTGGCACCATAACCCAACACTAGTAGTCACTAACAACCCACCACACACGCTCACAGAATAAGGACCCAAAGCTCCTCAGCCCCACCTGATCTGCAGTTCACCCCGGAGGGAGGCCAACTCCAGATCACTTCACATTGCCCTCACTAGCACCTTTCCTGGGCCACCTTTTATCACTGGTGGCCTGCCCCAGACGGCAGGAAGATCAGAAGGCCTTCCTCAAAGCCACACAGCAGCTGGACCCTCAGCACTCCACTGCTAGAGTTGGCCATGTTTGGCCTTCAGACTCTTAAGAAGGTGTGCACAGAGTTGATGCATTGCTTTGTCGGGGCTTTTGGGGGAATTGCTGGCAAGGGAAGGCCCAGAAGATGAAGATGAGGACCGTTCAGATCCACTGTCAGATCTATTGATGTTGCTACCGTACTCTTTGTCCGGCACCGTTGGAGAATACAAATTCGGGCGAGACACCTTGGTGAAATCCTTTTGGCCACTGCAGTGTCTCTCCGCACGAGCTCAAAAATGGAAAAGCCGCGAGACCATATGGTACGAGACCAAAAGCTAGTTCTTGAAACCCTGGAAGTAGCACTTGAGATGGAGCAACTTCCCTAGACAAATTCAGGCTGTTGATTGCTGTTGGCAAAGGCATTCCTTTCGAGCAATCTGATGGCAGCTTGTACAGTTGGGTTCAAGCAGGGCATCCATCATATCTACGTTGGCACATACCTTGACCTTGCTAAATGTGGCCTGCCGCCATGGTCGTGGCTTGATCTGCAACCGGGGTTGCACACCTCGATGGCGGATGCGAGCATGCTGGGATCATGGCCCCTGGGCGACACGGACGTGTTCGGATCTTAGATTTACATAATCTATCATAATCTATTATATATCTCTCTCTATGTATATATATGGAATTCATTCATTTAGATATGCATATATAGTTATTTATTGTTTAAAAAACGCTCTTCCTGGTTTTGCTTAAGGTGACTTTCTATTTTCCCTATGAGTGAATCCCCTTCTGGTGAATATGCATTTACTTAAAGAGTTTTACGGGTCCTTCAGCAGATCCAAGTATTATAGTCACTAGTCCTCCTGTTTGGGTGCAGTAGCAGGGCGAGATCTGACGAGTCATGATTGTGGCCGCTTCAGACGCGGATAACTTGGCGCAGGCATTTACCATGTTCAGCTATGTTCCACCCCTAGCGGCCCTAGCTCGACAATACTCACATGAAGTTAGTTCTTCACAATGCTTCCCCGGTGACCCTAGGCAGTTTATTCTCAGCTGCTTGCTTGTGATCCGACTGGTTGGCGCATATTTAGTGCCAAGCCCAGCTTGAATTATTGGTAAGGTCACAAAGTTCTGTGTAGTTTATAGTTTGCTTTGGCCAGAGCAACCCAGGTGTTGTCACCTCAATCTTTTTGTCACGAGGCGCCGATTATGGATTGTGACGAGACATTCAATTATGTGGCTACTTGGCTGCAGATCGGTTTGCTCAATTCTGGAGAGCCAGCCGTGCAAAAGACAAAACAAGCTGTTTCGACTGGGCACCTTTGCCAACTGATTGGTTGACCTCACCTAGCTGAGCACACAGGCAATGGATGAAATACGTGCATTTATATTTGGTTTGACGAGTGCTCATGAGTTGAACAACTGCTGTACCAGTTGCCGCCGTGCGTGAGAGGAACCCATCCACTATGTGACCTTCGGCAGTGGAATGCAGACATGGGACGCTTGGACTCTGAAAAAGTGAAAGTCCGTCTTACTAGTAGCTTATTGTTCTACTAGTAAGGCACCTGTTACTAGTAGCGTGGCACTTGTTACTACTAGCTTATTGTTTCTACGTGCTTGTTTTGTGTCCTCAGGATCCGGACCAAAAATCAACTATATAGGAACAAGTGCATCGCTAGTAGTAACAAGTGCCTTACTAGTAGGAACAAGGTTTGCTACTAGAAACAAGTGCCTTACTACTAGTAAAAAATAGAATTTTGTTGCACACGTTGTTGAACATTCCTCGGAATACGCTTCCCGCCCTCGCATCCTCTTCGTGGTGTTGGGGACCACCTTTCCCATGCTTTGGGTTTGGAACAGGCCCCTGACCCCACCTGAAAGAAATTGCAGGAAACTACTCCTTTGCATTCGCAGTGACTGCAAGATTGTTTTGTTCATTTTTGTCGTGCTGACTTGTGGTTCCTGGCAGGTTAGGGTATAGCATGATGTAGCAGCTGAATTCACGCCGCCATGCGTCAGGAATACTCGCCCGAGTTTGCCTTGAGATCGTCCAACCACTCAGAAGGGTGCCAGCAGTTGACCGCATGGGACAATGCATCGGGCAAAATCAAAGCATTCAAAGCCATCACGGTAGAGGTATGATTACATTATATTACATGCATGTCTTTAAACATAGAACGCTTTTTCTGTGGGCCATCTATGTTTTCTTCGTCAAGTTTTCTCCCTGCATTTACTTCACGGTTCTTGAGGTCTTCCTGAAGATATGCAGTGGCTCCAAGTCGTGCTGAGGTATGCCTATGTAGAGCTTTATGCTCTTCCTGTTCGACTGGCAAAAGTGTTTGGCCTGAACAAGGCCGTGTCGGTATCACACCTAGTCGGTGAAACATAGATTGGGTGACGCCACTGCAACTGATGACAATCACATTTGTTGTTTGTGAGTGCGAGTTCTAGCGGCTAGCCTTAGAAACGATATCTCTGAACATTGGTAAGTAAGGAGGGAAATATCTTAGGGTTGTTTTATTATGTTCTATTCACCAACGGCCCAAGTGATTGTCACTGTTTCCCTGTTTGAATGGGCTCACGTATGCTCACGTCACTATCACCTCACTGTGTCAGCCAGGCATGTGCCAAGACTTTCAGCCATGCATTCTCACCGGTTCCCGCGCGATTCCAACCCCGCGTGACGCGTCACGCGGTGAGGTGCAGGCCTTCTATCTCCTCAGGTCCACTTGCGGCAGTGTCTCTGCTCTCGGTGATGCCTGGCTCCGACGCGCGGGAATCTCGCCGAGCGGGGCCGCACGCCGAGCGGGCCCTTCCCAGAAACAACGAGAAAGATGAGAGGCCGTTGTTTCCGGTGGTTTGTCATTAGACTGGCCGTGTGGGCATTTGGTGGCCCTCTTTTTTCATGCTTTTTCGATGTCGCGCCCTTCTGCTTTCCTGATTCACCGAAATCTTTCCACTGAGATCGTCGTGCTAAGCGAAACTCTAACCCCGATGATTCGTTCGAATCTGGATTGAGCCGATCTGCGTGGTAAACCGAGGAGACCCTTTTCTGTGACGCGATCTCACGCTCTTTTGGCCGGAGAGTTTCTGGCCGCACTGAGCACGAACCCGGAGAGCCATGCGCAGTTGTTGATGACGTACGACATGTTTGCAATCATAGGCGGTAATGATGTGTTTCTGAATGAATAGTTTGTTCCGGGGACCCCACAGCCTATAGACTGAACTTTGAATACTTCTTTGGTGCTTTGTCCTTGGCCAATTGCTGCTCCTTGGTGATTAACCAGTCAGCATACTCCAAACCACTGTTTTAGCGTCACTGTCTTGATCAGTTCCAAAGCTTGACTTTGCAGAGAAAGGTATTAGGCTGTACCGTCCCAAAGGGATACTCCGAGGGAGCGAAGCATGCCTTAAGTCCATGACCCCGTCCTCATCCTGTGAAGTTCGCCTGCGCCCTGCTCGCACGGTGCCTAGGTTGGGCTGTTGAGCTTTGGTTTCTTGGCCGTGGGGAGTTCCGACCTCAAAGTCAGTGAAACAATGGCACTTGTTCCTAGTAGCTTCTTGTTACTACTAGTAAGGCACCTG